CGACGTCCCGGGCGAATGCCTGCCTGTACTGTACCCCCTCTATATACAAACGCCTTCGTAAAAACACAGTTTCGCTCCAGGTTGCTCGGAGTTGCTCGCAAAACATGACCAAACAACTTAAGCTGTGCCCTGTGGATGTGGTGAGTGAGGGGGGGTTGGTCGGCCAGGGCTCGGACGCCTTCGTTTCGGATGGTCTGTGCGTTGGGGTTGTCTGTGAGGATCTTGGTGTAGTAGGTAGCTTTGATCCGCTGGATCTTGCGGAGGGATTGTGAGTGGAAGGCCTCGAGCCCGTGAAGGTCAGCTGTGGTGAGCGCAGCGGATTCCATGCCATAGACAATCATGGGGATGAAGACCGCGTTGTAGATGCGCAACTTCCAGGCCACGCTCAGACCTGTGTGTCGCCAGAAGGCGTGCAGGGTATTGAAGTGCTTCCGCGCTTTTCCCAGCCGCGCGGTGATGTCCGCCTTGCTGGAAGAGTCCTGGCTGAGGACGACGCCAAGGTACTTGGCCTGCGTGACCTCTTTCATTGACTCTCCTGTGAGGAAGTGGATGTGGTTGACGGCCAGCTGTGAGCGAAGTAATTCGCACTTCTTGAGGTTCAGTGAGAGGTTGCTGTGGGCAGCGACTTCCTGAATCTTGTGCAGAATTTGCTGACCTCTTTCCGCAGTGCCTGTGAAAATGGCCATGTCGTCCGCGTAAGGGAGGTCGTAGAATGGCTGGTTCTGGCTAAAAAGCCACGGGAGCATCTGACCATGCTGCTGCAGCGCTGCATAGACATCAGCCATGATCATGCTGTGGACCACCAGGAAGAGGTAAGGAGAAAGTGGGCAGCCTTGGCGAATGCCAGAGCTTGCCTGAGACGGTTGGCTCAATTGCCCCGCCGCCTTCACTGTGAAGGAGGGGTTGTTGTAGATCGAGCCAATAAGATTGACAAACGCCGGCGTGACCCCATGCCGTTCTAGCGCCACCGTGACAGCTTGCGGGTGAACCTTGTCAAATGCTTGACTCCAGTCAAGAAGCTGCACGTACAAGGTTGAGCCGCAGCGTTCCGGGCGCTCTAACAGTCTCCTTGCCACGTGTATCGCCTGTGAGGTCGATCTGGTGGCTCTGAACCCGTACTGTGTGGATCGGAGCTTGGAGTCGATCGCCTGCTCCAGGCGTTTCTGAAGGAGCCTGGCGAAGAGTTTGTAAGAGGTGCTGAGGAGGGCGATGGGGCGGTAGTTGTTGGGGTCCGCCATCGTGCCGCGCTTGTGAATCTCTGCAACGACTGCCGTTGACCATTCTTCCGGCACCAAGCCTGTGAGTAAAGCTTCGTTGTAGAGGTCCAAGAGCGGTTGGCGGTTGGCTGGCGTAAGCCATTGTAGGGCCTCCGCCGGAATTTGGTCCGGGCCTGGTGCCTTGTGCGAAGCCATGCCTTTGAGGGTGTTGTTGAGCTCCTCCATCGTGATGGGGGCCATGTTGACTGGACTGTCATCAGTCAGTCTGTGGGTGGGGCCTGTGTAGTCTGCCGGCGGGGGGGCCCACTGTACTTCCGACAGGTGTGTGGCGAAGGTGTCTGCCTGCTTGCTGTAGCTGGTGGGCTTGCCCTTGGAGTCATGCAGAGTGACAGTGCGAGGTCTGTAGTCCGAGCGGATGCGCTTGATCCAACACCACTTGTCCCTGGCGTCCAGTGTCTCTTCGCTCTCCTGGAGACGATCCTTAAGCCATTGTTGCTTGTCCTGACGGGCCTGTGAGCGGATGGTCTTGTGGAGCTGACGCTCCGTCTCCAGGTTCTGACTCTGGCGGGCGGCGGTGCGCTGCTCGATGAGCTCCCACGTCTGCTGGCTGATCCAAGGGTGCTTGGGCTTGCTAGTCAGTGTGGGGATGTGCATCTCCATGGACTGTAGAATGGAATCCTTAATCGATTTCCATTGCCGGTCCAGCCTCTGCTGGTCTGTGCACGACTGTGAAGGCAGAGGGGGGACATCCTCCGCAGTTGTCTCGGGTGGGGCAGGCTCCTCGAAGGCTGGCTGATGCTGGAGGACTTCCGTGAAGTGTGTGTTGTAGGAAAGAATGGACTGTGCGTCAGCGCGTCTGGTCAGCTTGGGGGTGGGTGCAGCGCGCTTGTGGCAGGCTGTGTGGAGGGAAAGAGTGACTCTGGTGAGGAAGTGGTTGCTGTTGAGGGCAGCGTTCGGGAGGGTGTGCACATCGGTGACCATGTTCTTCCAGGCGAACTTGGTGACGGCGTGGTCCAACTGGACCAAGTCGCCATTCGGACGCTGGTGTGTCATTCGATGTCGCTCGTCTTTGTCCATCCACGTCTGCGGGAAGCATAGGTCGTGGCTGACCGACATCTCGAACAGCTGTGCGTGGTTGGACAGTGGGTCGTCCTCACCAGCCTGTGAGGCTAGGGTCTCGTCGGCAACGTTCGCTCCAAAGTGGGCGTGCGGTCCGACGCTGCCACGATTGGAGGAAAGCTCGTCGAGCAGTTGCGCGTTGAAGTCGCCGACCAATAAGAGAGGTTCGCTGGCGGGGTGTCTGTGAAGGATGTCTCCCAGCGACTGCCAAAATGCGTCGCGGACCGGCTGCTCACGTTGATTGTGGGGAGCGTACACCACCTGAACTGTGAGAGGGGCCTCCGCCGTGTCTATCTTGAAAGAAAGAAAACGGCCGTCGGTGGCAACGATATCCAGAATGCAGGGTGTGAGCCGCGGGGAGGTAATCAATGACACTCCCGTGAAGGTTTGGACCGGATTTCCCTGGGCATCCAGCTTGTCATCAGCACTGTGTGTGACAGTGTACCCATCGATCATAAAGCGGTCCTGTTGCTTCACGTGGGTCTCTGTAAGGGCCAGCCAGTCAAGACCATGCGTCTGCATGATCTTGATCAGAGTGTGGATCTTGGCGGCTTCAAGGAGGCCCGTGGTATTCCAGAATCCCCCCTTCAGGCACACTTTGGAGCGCAACTGTGTGGAGTGCCTCTGTCTGCCGTGCTCCTGTGGGCAGCGGCAGTGGGTCTTGAACCAATGGGCCCGTGTGTGTTGCTTATTCTGGGCATCGTGAGCGTCTGCCCAGGAGGCACGGCCACTGTGCAACTGAGGCTGTGAGGGGGGTAACCAGCGGTGTAGCCTCCCGAAACCATCAACGTATCGTGAAGCGCTCCTACATTCGTGCTCAGCGCAGAATCCAGACACAGGCCTGGACGTGGTATCGAGGACAGCAGCTTAGACAGCCCGATCCCCGATTTAAGCCCAACCCTATGCCCCGACCAGACGGCAGGATGTCGCCGCCCAAAGTAGCACCACGAGCCACCACAGCTGCTCAGCCCACTTTTAAGTTTGTGAGCTGGAACTGTGGGGGGCTGTCGGCACTTGGCTTCGAAGCTCTCCTCCAATGGCAAGCTCAGACCTCACCCACCCTAACCATCCTCAGCCTTCAGGAAACCCACTGGGCCAACTCCAGCGAGTTCGTGCGCAACTCGTGGCACTGCGTGTCCAGCTCTGATGGCACTAGGAACGCAGGGGTTATGGTGTTGGTTCGCTTCCCTCCGGGTCAGCAGGTACCTATACAGTACCACGAGGTCATACCAGGTAGGCTGCTACACGTACGCATATGCACCGAACCTCCCATTGAGACCCTCACAGTATACCAGCATAGTTGGAATCCATACAAGAAGTGCTATCAAAACCAAGCGGAGGACCCTACGACGCTTCTAATGCAGGACCGTGCCACGATCTGGACAGCAGTTCAATCTTGGGCCTCCGCCGTACCTGCAAGAAGCAGATTGGTTGTAGCCGGAGATCTCAACGCAGCTTTACGCGCCCACCATCCAAATGTAGGACCGGGTCTCATGCCACATAAGACCGGAATACACAAAGACCAGGCAAGCCTTCAACACTTGGTCCAAAACCTAGGCCTAGTTGCAGTTAATACCTGGCGCAAGTCTGGTAAGCCATCAGCCACCTACTGCAGTTATGATGGCCAAATGGTTCAGATCGACTATGTGCTGCTTCGCATTCCGATCAATGTGCCGGCTCTTGATGTGCGAGTGCTTCAAGACGCCCCAGTAGTTGCGGACACAGGTATGAGACACTTCCCCATCTCCCTAAGCGTACCTTTGCCCCAACTGCCTCAAACCCGTAAAAAGCCTCGCCAACTCACTGCCAGGACAGCCAATGAAGCACCCACGCATCAGCCAACAGCAGACCTGTTTGCATGCGAAGTTCGGCGACGCTTTCAGTCACCAGTGCCAGCGGAGAGCATTGATGCAGTGTTACGAGACATAGGCCACCAACTTCTCCTTAAACCCCACAAACCCCCTGCCACCATACAACAACCCGACCTTAAGCTGTATTGGCAAAGCAAGCGCAGTTGTAGGGAGACCGCGTTGCTCCTCAGCTCTCGCACTGACTGTAGCTGCTGGTCTCGACACCTTGTCACTGCGGCTGCAATGCGCTCAGCGGTTGCCAACACACATGCTCTTTTGAGAGCATGGTCAGCGCGCGCACGCCATCAGCGCATAGCACGAAACCTTAACAGAAGTATCAGAGCAGCGAAGAAGCAGCAAGCTGAACACATGATTCAGGAAGCGTACCAAGCGGAAGCCAGAGGACTGTCGCATGTGTATCAGGTCATGCACAAGCTTGCACCTAAGCAGCCTAAGCGCTCGATCCACCTCAAAGCGCCGGGGCGTGGCCTTCTCACAGCTGAGCAATCGCTGAACAGTATCTGTGAGTACTTCAGCGAAGTGTTCTGCACACCAGCCTCCTTCCCTGCATGTAGCTTCATCCTAACCTCCCCGCTTGACTTCACCCATCAAGAAATCAGCGAGGCCCTTGAGCGCATGCCAAGACGCAAAGCCTGACTTTTCGTGCCGATTTGTACCGGGCCCACTGCACATTCCAGAAGACTGGCACCGCGCCTTTGTCACACTCCTAGCAAAACCCACAAAACCTCCTACGAGCCCCGCTAATCTAAGACCCATTTCCATCCTGCCAGCCACGGCCAAACTGATGGCCAGCATGGCGGCCAGTCGTCTGCGGCCGCTTCTTGAGGATGCTATGAGATCGCGGCCTCAATTTGCCTTTTTACAGAATCGGCAAACGGCCGATGCATTAGATCGCGTTCAGGCGCACTGCGCGATGGTGAGGCAACAGGTAGCCTCTGCCCGTCCGGATCCCTTTGCGCGGGGCAGGAGACAAGCATACAAACTCCGCGGAGGTATGATGTTATCTCTTGATATTAGTAAAGCCTTTGACTGTCTTCCTAGGGAGTACTTACATAAGGCCCTTTTGCGCATAGGAACGCCACCCGACCTGATCCAGCTTGTGCTCTTCCTTCATCATCACATGTTGCTTGTGTTCGAGCGAGACAGCTACGTTCGGGAAATCCGGACAGGCACCGGCATACGCCAGGGATGCGGCCTGGCACCGCTGTTGTGGTGTGCATACACGCTCCTTGTATTTGATACCCTGGAAGCATATATCCCCAGACAGCAGCTCACCCTCTACGCAGATGACATGCACATCTACTGGACCATTTCCTCGGCCCTACAGTACCACAACGCGCGTCGACAGATAGGTAGAATCATAGCTGACCTTCAATCCTTAGGCATGCACATATCTTTCGACAAAACAGCGGTACTTGTACACCTGGGAGGCTCCGCCTGTGCCACAGCCACCAGAGGATGCTATCGTCGTCTCAGAACGGGCAAGCACATCATTGTGCCCACCCCTACGGGCTCATTGCTGTTGCCAGTTAAGCGCGAGCACCTGTACTTGGGGATGAAAATCGGGTACCACAACTCTGAGCGCTCATCAGTTTCCTATAGAATAGAACAATCCTGGCATTCGTTCAATAGGATCAGAAGAGTTCTCACTAGTGGGTCGCTGCCCCTTCCTGTACGACTGCGACTCTGGAAGGCCTGCGTTCGCACGGTACTTTTCTATGGACTTTCCACTTTGCTGCTGGATGAAGTGTGCGTCCATAAGCTCCGCTCACACTGCTTTCGTCAGCTACGCATTCTAGCTCGGTCCCCGGCGCATGTTACCCACGAGAGCAATGATCAACTCTTGTCTAGACTCCAGTGCACGGATGTGATTGACTCGTTGCAGCAGCTCACGAACAAACGTGTGGCCCTAGCTAGACAACACTTAAATCATGTCCAAACGGACTTGGTGCATCAAAGATGGGCGCAGCTCCTGGAGCAGAAGCACGAATCCCACACAAAGGCTGACCACCCCAGAAGCAGCCTGACCGCGGTAACCCAAGTACCTAGAAAACCAGCAACCTGCAAACACTGCGGGGCCACGTATAGCAGCCTACATGCCCTGCGCACCCACATCGGGAAGTCGCATCCTCAGGAGAGCCAAGCCAAAACCAAGAGTAGCTACCCGGATAAATCCCATCGAACCCCAGACCTCATGAAACATGCTGTAGATGGTCAGCCGCAGTGTGTACATTGTGGAAAGCGCTTTGCATCTTGGCGCTCTTTTGCAGGACATTTTGTCCAGACTGCATGTCCAGTTTACCATGACCCAGAAGCCTCTGCCACAGCCGATGTCAGACAACCTTCGGGCTTTGCTGAAGGGGTGTTCGCACCGGAAGCCGCAGAGGGCGATGTCTGTACTCCGCAACCCTCGGCCAATCAGCCGACTCCACTTTTTGAGCAAACTGCTGTCAAGACAGCTGCAGAGCAGGGTCAAAGATCTGAAATTGCAGCGCTCATCCGCAATGACATAAACAAAGGATATTGTCCGATTTGTCGCTACAAGTGCACGACCAGCTCCTACATTAGCCGTCATGCATGCTTCCAGCACCCGGATATCAAATCTGCCGAATCGGTGGTGAGACAGTGGGCTCAGCACGTAGAAGGGCCTGGTCAAGCGTGCCGCTGGTGCCTGCAACCCTACCAGCAGACTGCCAAGGCTCATCGTAAGGCATGTGCAGTCTTGTGGACGGTTGGTCATTTGTTGCACAAACATTCTACCCTTGTAGCGACAGGACAGCGTGCCATTGAGAACTATGGCACTCAGCGCGTCGGAGGAGCTCAAGAGAGCCTCGCAGGAGCTTCAGCAGTTCGGGGGGCACTTTCGGGAGGAGCTGGAGGCGTCGACGAGACCCCCGTCACCGGCCTCCACAGCGCAGGGGACCAGCACCCTCTCGAACAGGCAGTCCGAGAGCTCCGGGGCGACCCGATGGACACCAAGGATCAGGCCAAGCGGGCCGACCTTGCGGAACCATCCCAGGCTCCGGATCAGGAGGAAACTCCCTCCAAATACCAGAAGGCTGCAGGGAAGGGCAACCAGCACAGTCGTCCGCACGGCGACAAGTCCCTACAGGTGGACGCCCCGCAGCAGCAGCAGCAAGGTCGGCGCAGGGAGCGCGAGCGAGACTGGCAGCCAGCTTCGCAGCGGGGAGGCCAGCCCTGGTGGGAGTACAGAAGCCCGAAGTCTCCCCAGGAGATGGAGGAAATCAGGCAGCTTCTCCGCGAGCTCGCGAGGCTCGTCTTGCGCCAAGCAGACGCCATCAGCTGTCTGCAGATGGACGTGGGATATATGATCTTCTTAAAGACAAGCATGCAGCCCCGACTCCCGGAGGAACCCACTGCCACCCTGGACTGGGCGGTGGTCCACAACCTGTACCAGGTTGCACAGAAGTGGCATCAGGACAAGGAGAAGAATCCGGAATCCGTCACCACGACTCTCCGCACAACCCTGGTCTACTGCCTCATCTCGACACTGCTGGAGCGCGTCGAGAGTGCCGAGAGCAAGCCGCAGGACATGGCCCGCCTTCAGGCCCTGGGCCTGGTCGAGGACAATCGCTTCCTCTACCTTCGCTGGAATGCCGAGCGCCGCTGCCACGACAAGGCGACACGGGAGCACCTGCCCATGGAGCAGGCCAAGATTCACCTTCGCACCATCATGCAGCACCTGGTCTTCCCCAAGGTCATCATGTGGTTTCATGCGCTGAGGAAGCTGTCATCCACGATGACCGCGGACATTGTCCCGTTCACCCTCGAGATCCACAACAGATGCCAGGAGTCACAACAGGTATTCATGGCGTTCGAACGCCTCTGCCATTCCTCCATCTGGCACCTCTTGGGTGGGACCTTGAGGGCGAGCAAGCTCGGGCGGGGACCACTCGAGAAGAGCATCGAGGACCTGGCTCGCAAGATCTGATTCCTGCTGCCTCCGTCCTGCACTTGATGTTAGGCAATAGGGATAGTTTTTGCTACGCCAACGCTGTTCTCAATGCCATGCTGTGGCAACACCAGGTTTCGAGCACCACAGTTTTGCCTGCACATCCGGGTGTACACCGCACACTGCAAAAGGTTTTTCACTTGTGGGATCATAGTGAATGGTATGAAGCACTCCATGCATGGCCGACAGGTGGACAACAGGATGCTGCTGAGTTCATCCACAAGGTGGGCCCACACATGTTCCATCCAGCCCTCGTGCGTGCCGAATGGGAGTCACGACTCCCATCACCGTTGCCTCATGTGCCCTCAGCGATCAGTGATGCAGGCAGTATGTTACCACTGCCTCTGACGGCGCGCCTTCCGCTGCCCAGCGAGGGATTGTGCACGCTGCAGTCTTTATTCAAACAGTGGAGTCAGCAGCAGCAGGGCAGTACTGTGCAATCCTTCGCCGCAACCTCAAGCCCGCCAGTTCTTGTGCTTCAGGTGGCTCGCTTTAATGAGGAGGGTACTAAACAATTAGGCACCATAGTCCCCCCATACATGGTTGACCTACCTGTTTTTACCTCCCCCACGCGAGTGCAGCGGTACTATGTGCACAGCATAGTCTTTCATGAAGGCGAGACCACCCGCAGTGGGCATTACCGTACAGCGTTGCTCAGGAATGGTTTCCTAGCATACACCACAGCCGATGGCAGAATACCTGCTCTCGTACGGGACTCCGAGGCCACACATATCATGTCTAACTCGTATGTTTTCTTTCTGAGCACCACTCAAGCATAGCTTCGTTACTAGCACTCTGCCATACCGCTGATATTTATGTTGTTTCTTTGCACCCTTACGACCCTTAGTAGTGTCAAATTTTTATATGCTTTGTATTCCTCTTCATAAGTGCGCATCTGCTTGAAGGCCCCTCGGGGCGGGATGCGCTACCGGCAGAGTGCGTTTTTAAATAGGGTTGAGAGAACTGGGGCCAACAGTGCGCGTCACAGAGTGATGCCGGCCGTGCACGGCTGCCCTACGCAACACGGACTCCCTCCGTGGCGATGGAAAGAAAGACAGCACGACCACCATCGCCAGCATCATCATCATAATCATCATGACCACGAAAACATTTCAGATTGCTCGACTACTGCTACTAATTGGGCTCCAGAGCTAGGACTGTTGACTGTATAGTCATCATGATGCCATCAACAATCATACTATCGTGACGTTATTGGACATCATCATCAACAACATCATCATCGGCAGCATCCGGCCAGGTTCCTCACCGTTGGATTGCCACGCCTTTTTTTCATGGGCGTCACCACTGGTCTGATTCTCCTCGGGGTTGTACTGACTTTGTGGTACTTGCAAGTGTTCACCGCCCTGTGTGCCTTGACTGAACATAATATGTCGGTGCGACGTGATATATTCCCGTCTGCAAGAATGTTCCTGTGATGCTCCAAGGCATTGCTTTGCCACCTACCCTGTACAGTGGCTTTCGTCTGTACAAGCAGCGGCGGTCTGGCAAGCTGATTCTGCAAGACACCCACTTTGCTGCCTGGTGGTACTGAGCGAGCATCAGTGTACAGGGGTTGCGTAGCGGGTTGCAGCGTTGACGACTTGGAGAACGCTTGAAGTGAACAGAGGTCTGCAGGAAACGCAGTTTGACGGAGGGTCTAAACTAAACCCCCGACATCTCCCGTCCTGCCACGAGGACTGGAAAGATAGTTGTGCCGAATTCTTTGATGTCAACACTGACGGGGCTATGAAGCGGCGCAGAGAGGCCTAAGCGGGCAAACAGTGTTTTTGTTTATGTGTAGGCTTGTGTTGTTTGTTTTAAGTGTAGCTGCTGTGTAGAGGGGGTATTTTTCACGAGATGTCACATGCAGGCTGCCGAAGCCGTCATCAAGTCAGTGGATGCCCAGGCTGCAAAGAAGTTCAACGAGTTCGTATCTCGGATCAAAGCTTGGTTTGGATGCTCCAGGTTTATTCTGTGTTTCCGAGACTTGCGTGTGTTACAGCAGAATCTCGCTGTTTGTATGCGTTCGTGAAGACGGACTCGAGCGCAGTTCTCGGGTGCAAAAGGATTTGCCAACATTGCAGCAGCACGAGAAAGGAGCTAGGAACGTGTGGTCTAACAGAGGGCCGCAGCCAGCTTACCTGCTGTCATTATCGCGCCGCCGGCAAGCCATGGTGACATGAAGATAAACAGTTGACCTCGCTGGAGGTTAAAGATGTTGATGCAATTGCAATCTATGGCTGCGGATGCTTGTCTTCAGCAGCCTTGAACGAAGTCTTTTCATCCTAAGTCGGCACCCACGGGACCACAAACAAGTCCTAAGGAATTCTGGCAGCTACTCACGTAGGGAGCCTGCAAGCTCTCGAGAGACATGGCATGGACACCAGGCCCACTGGCGTTTCATGTCTGTTCTTTGGTCTCAGTCGCGATGGCACTCGCGTCTCAACATTAAAGATTGTTCCTTAACTCCCACTACCACTACCACTGCCACTGCCACTGGCCACTGGTCACTGCCACTGCCACTGCCACTATGTTTTGATGATGGTAGTCGTGCTTCTCGTAGCTGTAGAGGTCGTGGTGATGATGGTGATGGTGATGGTGGTAGCAGGCGTGGTCAGAGACGGTCATAGGCGTAGGACAAGCCGCTGTTGCAGTGGAAGCAGGCGCTGTAGGCGTCGCAACGCAGGCAGCGGTAGCAGCAGTACTGCCAATGGTCACAATGCCAGTCAAAAATGTCAAGGCGACTTGATGGAACTCTAGCTATGTTGGCTGCCCAAAAAATGTTGATGATGAAGCTGGGATCGTTCATAATGCTGCCGATATGCGGAGGAGAAGATGATGATGATGGTGATCATCATCATCATAATCATGTGATCACCATCATCATCATCATCATCATCATAACACTTATGAGCCGGTTGATGTCGGTGAGGGTGGTGATGACGAGGTTGCGGACGTGGCTCTGGACGATGATGAGTGGTGACGATGCAATGTGATGATGCCTGTTGCGATTGGGGTACTGATGGTGATCATGATCAGGATGAAGCTGTTGATGACACTTTATTTCCTGACGGCAGCCACTAGCGCCACCACCACGGCCGCCAGCATCAGTGCTCGCAGCAGCACCAGCACTAGCACCAGCACTGCCATCAGCACATCCCCTTCATCATCACTATGAAAGAAACCACCATCACCACCATCACCACTATCACCATCATCACCACCATCACCACCATCACCACCACCACCACCATCACCACCATCACCACATCACCACCATCACCACCATCACCACCATCACCACCATTACCGCCACCATGGCTTCCACCACCACCACCACCACCACCACCACCACCACTACCACCACTACCACCACTACCACCACTACCACCACTACCACCACTACCACCACTACCACCACTACCACCACTACCACCCTTACCACCATTACCACCACTACCACCACTACCACCACTACCACCACTACCACCACTACCACCACTACCACCCTTACCACCATTACCACCACCATTACCACCATTACCACCATTACTACCATTACCACCATTACCATTACCACCATTACCACCATTACCACCATTACCACCATTACCACCATTACCACCATTACCACCATTACCACCATTACCACCATTACCACCATTACCACCATTACCACCATTACCACCACCGCCACCCTTGCCACCACCGCCACCCTTGCCACCCTTGCCACCATTGCCACCCTTGCCACCATTACCACCACCACGACCACCACCACCACCACCACCACCACCACCACCACCACCACCACCACCACCACCACCACCACCACCACCACCACCACCACCACCACCACTGCCACCACTGCCACCACAACAACAAATATCACAACGAACATGACCAATCCCGCAAGACCCTGAAGACGTTCATCGTCATCATCATCACCATCACCACCATCGCCACCATCACCACCACCACCGCCACCATTACCACCATTACCACCATTACCACCATTACCCCATTACCACCATTACCACCATTACCACCATTACCACCATTGCCACCATTGCCACCATCGCCACCATTGCCACCATTACCACCATTACCACCATTACCACCATTACCACCATTACCACCATTACCACCATTACCACCGTTACCACCATTGCCACCATTGCCACCATTACCACTATTACCACCGTTACCACCATTACCACCATTACCACCATTACCACCATTACCACCATTACCACCATTACCACCATTACCACCATTGCCACCATTGCCACCATTACCACCATTACCACCACCACCACCGCCACCATCACCATTACCACCATTACCACCATTACCACCATTACCACCACCACCACCATTACCACCATTACCACCATTACCACCATTGCCACCCTTGCCACCATTGCCACCATTACCACCATTACCACGATTACCACCATTACCACCATTACCATCATTACCACCATTACCACCGTTATCACCGTTACCACCGTTACCACCGTTACCACCGTTACCACCGTTACCACCGTTACCACCATTACCACCATTACCACCATTACCACCATTACCACCATTACCACCATTACCACCATTACCACCATTACCACCATTACCACCATTACCACTATTACCACCATTACCACCATTACCACCATTACCACCATTACCACCATTACCACCATTACCACCATTACCACCACCACCATTACCACCACCACCACCACCACCACCACCACCACCACCACCACCACCACCACCACCACCACCACCACCACCACCACCACCACCACCACCACCACCACCACCACCACTGCCACCACTGCCACCACAACAACAAATATCACAACGAACATGACCAATCCCGCAAGACCCTGAAGACGTTCATCGTCATCATCATCACCATCACCACCATCGCCACCATCACCACCATCACCGGCACCATCACCACCATCATCACCACTACTACCACGACCCAAACGGACACAATTCCCGCGACGACCCTCAACATTTCATGATCACCATCATCATCATCATCATCGGCATCGCTGTCGTCGTCTTCATCATCCACATCATCATCAGCATCGTTGTCGTCGTTATCATCGTCCTCCTCGCCGTCGTCATCTGAAATCCCGCGACATCATATCATCATCATCACCACCATCGTCATCAGCATCATCATCATCATCATCATCTTCATCATCATGTCAGTCATCATCACCACCATCACCATCCCCATTGACATCGCCATCGCCATCAGCATCAGCATCAGAATCAACGTCAGCATCATCACCATCATCATCGTCATCATCAACAGCATCAGCATCAGGATGATGTTGATGATGATGATGATGATGATTATGTTAATCTTCTTTCTTCTTCCTCTTGACGTCCATCTTGGTCTTTGTCTGTTGTCGCAAGACTTGCAAGGGAGACACGAAGCAGCTGAATTCATGGCTTTATAGCGATTGCACAACATCGCGAAATGCACATGGATTCCGGCATATTGGCACCACGTTGCGGGACAGTAAAGGAGGCACACGTGGTCACCACCACCTCTAGTATTCAGTGCAGATTCCCGTCCCGTCGTATGCACGGCCGCTGCAGCGACAGCACGGTGAGCACGGCTTTCGGTCTAAGGCCAGCAGCGCTGGATTTCGGCGATGCAGCATTCAAGTCTACTACTACCAGGGTAGCAAACCCAGTAGCAAACCCAAGGCAAGTGCAATCACTGTTATAGACATTGTACTGACAATGGTGGAACTGAGCTTGGCAGCAGACAAACAAGGGTATAGAGTAGGAGCAGGTAACCATTCAATTTGGAAGATTCAAATGTGGCCGTGTTAGATAGAAGCAAGCATAGTTTGAAATTAATTGCACCGCCATTCGGCTATAGCATCGGACAGGAATCTGAAGGCGCTGGCCGGCGTCTCTGCTGGGTCTGTCGTGGCTGCCATGCTGGCCGTCAACTGCAGACCACGCGAGATCTTCGAGGTGTTGCCTGGCCGAAGTTCCTACACTCTGACTAACTCCCGTTTCGACCGAGCCGTGAACCTCAAGCCCCAACGGCCCAAAGCCTACCCGGAAGCACGGCCTTCACTTTTCAACACCTGCTCAAAGTGTGCTTGAAAAGAGCTTTCACGGCTTACGGTTTTTGGGAAGTGCCTGACCACCTTCACGAAACTCACAGCTAGAGCTAGGCCTGCTTGAGCCTCCCAAGCCCAGCTCCAAGGATCGAGGGCATGGAGTTTCACCAGCTTGCGTTCCCAGAGCTGGGCTCCTTGTCCCGCATCCTCGGGACTCTGGTGCTGCTCGGAAGCAATGAAAGCAGGATGAGCCCTGGGCTTCGAAACCCGACCGAAACTCCTCGTCCCAGAAGATCTTAGATCTTCAAGGAAATTGACCAACAACCCAGTGGATGCTGTCGGTCACCCCGTTTCTCAAGATCGGTTCTGATTGTGGTGGGCATCATTATTTCCACTTTCATGTTTGTCGTGTTGTTGCTTATCATGACTGTGCCGATGCCGGTAGCCTTGAGCTCGCTGTTCCAGGTTTTGTTGCTGTCTATCATGCAGAGTCGAGTTTATCGTGTCGCCCGAGGCAAGGGTTGCTGAGGGTTACCATCGGCAATCACGCGGCCGAGGTGGTGGAGTGCCTTGTTGCAGGTGGGGCATGGAAAGATTTTGGCCGGTTTGCACCGACACTCCGACCGGAATCCTTTGCAGATGCCACTGGGCCCGGCTTCAACAGCGGCCTTCGCCTGGAGGAGCGGCTGAGCGCGCGACGGGGACTGGGATAAGTGAGATGCCGTCGGCTAGTGACTAGTGACGTACTAGCAGCGTTCCCTCTGCTGTCGGAGGGTAAGACGTGACTAGCACAGCAACCAGGCAGGCAGACGGCAGATACACTGGCAACATCATCAGCAAGAGCAGCTGTACGACTTGTTACATTTGTTGTCATGGCGGTGTCAGCATTTTTTGCTCAAGAGTTGGCAAGAGCAACTGCGGCAACAATGACAACTCAACGCTGCAGAGGAGATGATTGGCAAGGAGCTTCAGAAGAAATGCCTCTTGGTTTAATGCCACGATGACGGGGCCTGTCCGTTGGAGTCAGCATAGTACATGCTGGGAGGGGAGGCATCGAACTCCAGGTGGTAACAGAGACATTACGCTCGCGGGCGTGAAGCAAAGATTTGGCTGCTCGGCCAGCTTTTCAATGTTCTGTCTTTGGCCTAAACCTCGCCAGCTTCGCACGTCAACGTGGGGTGTAGGGTTTTGGGCTTAGGGTGTGAGTCACAGTGCGCTGAGGCAAGAGGCTGATCATCCTGGCTTGTGAACTGGACTCTGGTCACGAGAGAAGGTTTACGCCAGAAACTGATCCCGATCTGCCGGTTCGGGTTGCTGTGCGAATGTCCATGGGAGTGCCGGGGCTGATGGAGCCCTTCAGATACAAAGGCAGCGGGAGTTTGCGAAACTACACATCCCGAGGGGAAGTTATATTGTGGGGTTTCGATATCATGAGCGGATTATTTGTTGACATGATTTCTGCAAACTTGTGTCCGTAGCCGGCTTTCCCTAACCTGCGCTTGCCCCTTGTTCAAAATGAGAGATTGGACGTGGGACCGAGTATCGCAAATGCAGAGAAGAATATCCTCAGTCAACTCGAAGGTTTGCGGGTTTGGAAAGTAGATTATCGAGCCTCGTCGTGGGAGAGTTAGGGCCTTTTCTATGACACTGAAAACATGGCAAAGCATTTGACTCTGACCACGAAATCCAATCCTCAGGCCATCTCTACCCGACGAAAGCATCAATCGTCGCCAGAGAAACGATAACGTCTTGGATGTCGAGCTTCGGGTTTAGGTTTGCGTTGCTTATAGAAAACTTTTCCTTGCAGAAACCCCTGCGAGGCCACGTCTACTGCGATGGTGGCATGTGCAACGACTTCCCGGTGGATGCTCTGCCGGAAGACTCCAAGCGTATGGGATTGATGGTGCGACCGGTTGATTGGATCCGCCACCATGTCCCAGGACCGAGCTGGTGAAACTCGCAATGCATTTAGCCAGTCAACTAACTCACTATAGCAACAATGCTTGTCATGATCTAATGAGAGTTTTGGGGAAGATGCCATTGCTTGGCAAGCCTTTGCTACATTGCAATGCTAGAGAATTCGGCAATTTCTTGCATTTTGTGCGCAGGCCTAAGCTCGATCATCCCCGATGAGAGGCTGGAGAAGTATGAAAAAGTCATGGCTCATCTCAAGATGAAGTCGGAAGAGAGCCCGACACTTTTTTCGGTGAAGACGGTCCTGGACCTCGCATTGACCTCGGCACCCGACTCAGAGGTAGACCCATTACTGCAGCTTAGCTCCTAAGCTATCGTTTGTCCTTAGCATGAATGACGGCGGTGCATCATCAGTGATGAGGATGATGGCCAGCCTAATGATTCTGGCAATGAGCGCGGTGCTCGTGACGAAAAACTGAACAGGGACGATGATTTTGATGCTGATGTTGACGGGTGATGATGACGAAGATGCTGAGGAGGATGATAATGACGAGGATGGTGACGAGGCTGATGATGAGACTGAGGATGATGATGATGAGGAGGAGAACGAGGATGATGATGAGGATGGTGAGGATGACTGTGGTGCTAGTGACGATGAGTAGGAGGAGAAACCAAGGGGAGCATTGACTCCTTTCTGTGAGCCTGCGAGCAATTCGGGATTCTCGAAATCCAAGAAACTCGCAGCGGCTCCATATGTTTTAGGCCTTAGGTTGCTCTGTCTAGGCCACTTTTTGTTGGCGTATGGTCGTGGGGTGTGTCCTGGAATTGGAAGCTTAGAGTTACCTGCTCCTGAGTCTTCTGCGCAGATTCTGTGCCCGAGCTGCTCCGTTCGTTGCGTGAATTCCGTGCATGAGTTTCCGGGCAATCGGAGTCGGATGAGTGCGATGAGGATTCAGGGAGTGTGAGGGTGATCGTGACGACGAGCATAACCATCATGCCGTGGCGATCATGGCGATATCCGATTTGAGAGCAATGGGTGAGTATCCCAAAAATGCAGTGCTCAGGATGGACGTTATCCCAAAACGCATGCACAAAACTACTGACAGTTTCATTTTCTGTCTCCTTAAGCCTGACCCAGCTTCAGGTGAACATCATGATGGATGCCAACCTCGTCCTTCAGATTGAGGTAAATGGAAGCCTCACACAAAAAACTGTGGGAAGTTTGTAGCTCTGCTCACAAAGTGCTCTCCATTCTTTAAGCGATGTTCCGGAGGCTGCCACGGCCAAGAAAGGTTTCAGGCAAAGCTCTGGCATCTCTGGCCTCGCGCCCGAGATCCTCACGTGGCTCGGCTGTCTCTCAGGGCTTGGAAGGTGCCGTGTGATGGCGATAATGATGCTTGCAATTGCAGGGCAGCGCAGCGTGGTGAAGTGGCGCAAAGGGAATTAGTGACTGTGCTGTTTCGCATGTCTTCACATAATGAGGCTGTGCGGAGGCAGATATGACCCCTTCGACTTCAATCTAACGAAAGAGCAGCACCTTGGGTCTGCAACATGCATGGGCAGACCGATAGCCTGCTTGCTTCAGCACGACACCAGCCGGGTAAGATCAGGCATCGGGAGCTGTACTTGGCCGGCCAGCTCAGTGCCCTCCTCACAAGTTCGGGCGCTGATGGAGTCGTAGAGTGGCCACGTGGGCTTGTGTGAGGTACCCACCTGCACGCATCTGTCGTGGATGGGAGCTCTCAAGTACTCAACGATGAGGGAAAGCTGAAGACCATGTTGTACATGCTACACATGGATTATCCGAAGCCGCCGTGACCATAAGCGTCGCGGCCGTTGCAGTCAAAAGTGTGCTGCAATTCGCGAACCACGAGCTCTGAGAGTCTCTCCTTTGCTCTTCTTTCTCTTCTCTCTCCTTCTTTTCCCGCTCTCGTGATCTCTCTCCCTCTCTCTCACCCTTGTTTCTCACACTTCCCTCACACTTCCCTCACACTTCTCGCTTCTTCTCCTCACACTTCCTTCTCTCTCTCTCTCTGCGTCTGTCTCTCTCTTGTCTCTCTGAGGCACCGCAGCATCCGCGCCTTCGAGGCCACGCTGACGCGCGGCCGCTGGAAGCCGAGCTGGGGCCCAGCGCCCTGGGAGCGGCGGCCTCAGCCCTTGGAGTTTAGGGGTTAGGGTGTTGGTGTACAGATGTAAGAAGGACATGTAGATAGAGATGGAGGCAATAGCAGAGATAAAAATAAGGATGGAGATACATTCATAACTGTTCAAGCTAAGCATAAGCACACAGTGGAGAGTGCCAAAAAGAAGAAAAGGAAGCCCAGGTTCCGCCCTCCTGGGGCTGTCCTTGCCACGGCGCTGGAAGCTGGCAATGCCTCTTCGGAGGTCGGGTGTCGGGTTTCGTTTCGGGTTTATGGTTTGGGGTGCGGAGCACTGTTGGACTTGAAAGCTTTGGTTGTGCCTGCACCATTCGATAAGGATCTTTCATTTAGTCGACATTGCAATAGGGCCCTTTCTTTCTGCCTGTTCCAAAGCCTTACTGCCCTAGAGTACTACACACTCAGACTCAAACCTGAGTTGGCAAACTCCCATGCTACCCGTCTCCAAATTTTCGTTGGCCTCCCGCTCAGGGCAGCAAGGACCCGGAGCTTGCGACGGCCTATCGTTTCTTAGAGCCTCGGTTGTGTTTAAAGAAAGGCTTTGCGTTTGAGGAGGGGACCCTGCTTCTTTAGAAAGAAGACGAAGACCCTCTTCCATGAGTCTATGTTCCGCATCCACATTCCTGCTCCACCTTGCTGTTCATGGCCTTTGCCACGTTTTCTCTTGATCGCGCCGTGCTGCAAGGTTTCGACGCTGGCAGGGGCTTTGTGTGCTTCCTTCGAAGGTCGCTGTGCAAGTTTTTTGACTCGAGTCCAGCAGCCCGCCGTCCAGGCATGGACCCTACTCTTTCGAGCGATGCGGTTGCCACTGCAGAGGGTCGCGGCACCACGCCGGCTGCGAGGCGACCACTGCTTCTCGGAGCAGCGTATTGGAGTTATCGGTCATGGGAGGCTCTTGACGTCCGGCGTCGGTGCTCGCCCGCTGACTCTTCCCAGCAGCTGGACGGCCAAAGACCACGTGAGACTCGCTGGGCACCCAGCCCGTGGAAGTGGGACGCTCGGAAGATCACATCTTGTTGCCGCAACCGAGGCCAGCTTGCCCTACGAACCTGTCTGCACCGAGAACTTGACCCCGTGGCTGAAACTGCTGCCCTGCGGCCGCGAGCCTGGCTGACGGACAGTGATGCCCCCTTTTAGTGTTTTAGTTCAGACACAACTTCTTGGCAACTTCTCGACTGCTAACCCTGCAGAAGCGTCTCACAGCTGGAGTTCTACACTCGCAGCCCGAAGGCCCCCCATTCAGGGCTTTACCTCAGCAAGTTCGCCCGCAAGGCTTCAACTGGCGACAAGAACGTCTGTATGCGTTCAAGTGTATGTGTGTGCATGTACTCCCTCTCCTATCTTGCTGTGTGCGTGTCTGTCTATCCGTCTATCTATCCATCCGTCCATCCATCTACCCATCCATTTATCCATCCATCCATGCTAGAATGCAGACATACATCCGGCGGACAGACATTACATGCAAAGATACCTGCGGCAAGCGCGAGGATCCCGGTTTTCGAGGAAGCCGTTGTAGGCCTCACAGCCGGGTGCCGCCGGCAGCCCATGCAGTCCCCAGGCCGGCACAGAGGTCTTGCAGCGCTCCTGGCATCACTGGTGCTGCCGGCGGCAGAGGCCTGGTGTGCCACCCCACTGGGATTCGAGGTCTTGAGCACTTCGCTCTCCGCTTTGCATCGCATAAGTTGGTGTGCATCAAGCTAGAGGCTCTCTTCACGCAAGGTCTTTGCGCATTGTGCATGCTTCACTTATCCTCATCAGAGTTTTTAGCGAGAAGGCTCCTTTGCTGTCCTTGTCGCTGGTCACTACCCGTGACGAGCTGCGAGCTTGGTGAGTTTCAAGGAGGCACTGACACAGCGAGACATGTACAAGTGTTTGAGTATTGTCAGACGGTAAACCATCGCAGTCAGCACTCCTCGTTCCGTGACCGTGCGTGTTTATGCAGAAAAGGTTTGCTGCATGCATCTTCCCGAGTGCTGCTGCGTTTTTCTATTAAGGTTGTCGACAGTCCTCTCGGCATCCCTGGATGTGGTGCGCGTGGATGCACGGGAAGTCAAAAGCGAAGATCCAGCCCGGCTTTTCAATACAAGACTTTCTGTTGGAGGTACTGCCCAGCTCTAGCGAGGACGGAGCGGCGAGCTTGCCAGATTGGCTGAAGAGCTTCACAGCCTCCTGGCAAGACACTGCTATGTGTCTTGTCGTACTGCTATGGCCCTCTATGTCCACAGTAGCTCTGAGGAGCGGCAAGTTAACCACTGTCCTGCAGCTGCCGCGGACTCGGATGTCCTGCTGCTGGCCCATACTCCGGAGCCTATGATTGCGCAGAAGCTTCTGAGCGAGTGCTAGGCTTCCTCTGAGATTGCCTTGTGGTCGCCTGGAGCCGTGCCGCAGATCATCGAGAGGTGTGGACGTGCCTCGTCTCTTCCCCCGCGCTTGGGCCCTTGGCAGGATAGCAGAGTCGCGGCTGCAGCCCGCAGGGCCCGCATTCCGTGGGCAGGCCAGGTCGACCTTCGACGTGGGATGCGCCTGTGACCAGCTCGTGCTGTTCAGGTGTCAGTCTTCCCAACGAGAGCGCCGGCAGCTCGGTTGGAGGACGTCGCATCTGTGGACTTCATGTGACCGAAATCCTGTCCTTGATCCTGCGACATCCTGCCCCAAGCATGCTAAAAAACTAGTGCTCAGGCTGAGTCAACTGGAAAACATGGCTCAGCCCGTCGCTGAGCTCGGGGCAATCCAGCGCTGGCACACACCAGCACCATTGTACGGGCTGTGTTTCTTGGACCAGGCTGCGAGTCATGTTCCCAGACCACTCGGACCTGTCACGGCTGCAGTGCCAAAGATTGGGTGCAAACGCAAGAATATTGAGAGTTTATGAAACGGAGCAGTTGATCAGCTTCTGAACCACCCCTCCCGAAGGATTGAACAAGATGAAGGTAGCTGAGAGACAGCAAGGTGGCAAGGGACGGGTGCAGAAACGAAGCACCAGTTTCCAAGGCTTAGGGTGTAAGAGATTGGAAGAGCGAGGTTTGATCTCATTGGGACCGGAGCTCACACATCCAACGAAGCAATTCAATGATGAGTCGTAGCAATCAATAGAGTACTTGCCAGAGATACTCCCTTGCGGCCTGCCATAGCATACCATGTTCCCTCAAGCCCTCACTGCTTGCATCCGGAGCAGTGGCATGAGGCTTTTCACGGGCCCGCGCCCGAGCTCTTCGTGTTGGACGTTGTTGGCGAATGTATGCCTTTGCACGACTTCCCGCGACCGTGCAGTAGGGCAGCGGTTGTGAAACCAGAACCGTCTGAATTCTGTTTTCTTTGGGACTGCCGCGTTGAGGTTTTCCAGAAGAAACCCACATCACGAGCAAGGGCTTGCGAGTCATGCGTGACATGCTCTCACAGGACAGTGGTTTCAGACCTCCTGCGCTGAAAGCATCAAGAGCCAGTAGAGCTGCGCAGCCCTCTGCTCGAAGCTGAGCCTGAGTCAGGAAGGCCGCAGCGAGCGAACACACGGCCGCTACCTACTGCGTGTGCGGCTGAGCGATTTGATGATGGCCGGTGGGAGATGGTTGTCACATCCTGTCACCATGAGGATTGAGCAATCATGGAGCGGGTCGCCACGTCCGTTTCCTGGCACATGGCTGAGCAACAGTTTCCAAGAAGATAGCAAATACATCGATACCTCAGTTGAACCTGGATTTCGTTGTGTCCACCAAGGACCAGCTCCCGTTCTTCATCAGGTCGGGCCCTTCACCAGAGTCCCTTCCATACAGTGGCCGTTATGACCTACGCTCAGGCCTCTCTGGCACACGATCCGTGCGGTGTGGCGCAGTGAGAACTCCGACGAGGTCAGGTGAGAGTGTGGAGTATGCTGCGATTGACAGAATGGCATTGACAGCTGCAGGTTTTGGAGCTTGCTGGGGCAGATGCCTTGAGGCACCTTGCTTTGACGTGACTTGGCCGACGAGATCTGCTCTTGTCCAGCCCTGAGTACCGACCTATGCTCGTGATGGCTAGGTTCACAGCATCGGACGGCTTGCGGTCACCGACTGACCTTTCCCTCACCGTCGCCTGTGGCTGAGACTCCCTGACATGCCGGGTCGGAGCCGAAAAGTTGCTTCTTGGATCCAAGGACCTTTCGCCCGGAAGCTCTTTGAGTGTTTTCCTGGATGTCCTGCCGCTGATCCCAGGAAGTGTCGTTGCATTGGGGATGGTTCAGTAGCGAATGCATATTTATGTGTATTATCTGATTATTCGACATTGCGAGATTTCAAGATTCATGCATCTGCGGTAGCTTTTGTCAGAGAAGGTGGAGCAAGTAGGAACACTAATTCGTTCTCTTACGTTCCTTCGCTTCTGAGGCCTTAACAGCTCAGTGCTTCTTTTTGAACGTGCTTGCTGGCCCTCTGTGTGCTGAGGAAGAACTTCATCCCCTTCCGCGAGTTTTCCTACGCTTGCGAGAAGGCGAAGTTGGCTGATACAAGTTTTGCACCGAACTCAACATACACATCGTTATGGTCATCACCATCACCATCAAATCCACCACCGCCATTGTCAGAGTCATCACCATCGTCATCATCGTTACCATTGTCATCATAAGCATTGTCATCGTCGTGGCCATTTTCAGCATCACCATTATGACATTAGCACCCTCATGCCTCG